GGGGGGGGACAAGGTCAGCTGACCTGACGTCAGCTAAGACTTTAAGTGGAAAGAAGGAGGAACGGCTCGCATCCTGGCGTTTCGGGGGGGGGACTCCAAGGAACTTCACGGAGAAGAACCGTTGTACGGTTCACCTGCCAACATATAATAGCTAATGTATGCATACAAATGACAGTAGAGGTAAAATAAGTTACAATATTAGCATACACAGTTCCAATAGAACAATGTTGAACTTTTTTTGTTATAGTGTTATAATTTAGATAATGTTTCTGGTAAAAATAGATAACATGTCCTTTGGAAATGTTGCAAAGCTCAAACACTGGGAATGATGCTAACAGAACAAAATTATATGCATGCAGAAATTAAGAGCAGATAAATTGTGGGAATGCTTGCTGCATTCCTGTAGGCATGAAGATCAAAATTTCCCATTTTAGTGTGGGTGTCTGAGAAAGATGTTTGGATTTAAGACAGATGAAATAACATGAGAAAAAATTGAAATTTCCTAACGAGCATTATAGCTTGTAGTTTTTTCCAGATATATCAAACCAAAGAGGAGATGAATAAGAGCATGTATATGCGTGGGAAAGAACTGAAAAAACGTTTTGATAGAAAAAGACCACTTTGAAGACTGGGTGTAGGTTGGAGGGTATGAAGTAATTTTTACAGTGAGGTATGGTTATGAATTAATTTTGTAAAATGCAGGACTAGGGCATTGTACCGATATTAACAAGTGTGTAGTAGTTTCGAACGAAATTTTCATCGGTCCTGGGAATCCAGAACGACCTGGAAATTCTTGCCTGATTACATGTGCGGTGCTGTTATAGACCGTATTAGTCACCCATTTGGTGGGCATAGTGGTACTGGGTCAGTTTTTCCCAGAGCATTTCGGTTCCCCTGCCATTTCTCATTCCATATCGTTGCATACTATCTTGTCGCTGACACTAAATAGCAATGATGCTCAAATTTTCTTTGAAAAACAAATATCGAAACAAAACGTGCTCAAGTGGGCAACGCATTCTGACAGTCATGTGTTACGTCATACGACTCCTCCCAATAGGCTTCAGCAAGGTGGTGAGACTGAGATAAGGGAAAGGGAAAAATGACGATCTGCCATCTCTACGCATCCTACATGAACTAGATATCCTAGAAATGATTTGAATCGATCATAATACACCTATTGCAATTAATCGAATCGCTACATGTGAGCCAATCAGAGAATCTTGAACATACTGAACTGGGGGGTGTAACTCCCATAGTAGAGAGGGAAACATGCAGACCAGCCATCTATGCTGTAAAATAAGACAGGGTTGAATACATAATACAGTTGCCAACTGCAGCTTTCACAAAGCCTTTGTCTGGGAACAAATGTGCACATCAG